ACATAGAGAGATGGCCATGACATTGTAGACAAAAGTGTTTTCAGGTGCATAATCTCATTTGTACGAAGTGGCGCGTGCAATGGGTATATATTGGAAAGAGTATTCTAAAGGATGTTTGGCAAAATGTCAGCAGCGTTTATTTCTGGGCTGGAGGATTTGGGGTAATTTTTGCACTCCCTTAAAGCAGGGTTTCTCAACCTTGACACTATTGACTTTTCCGGTCAGATCATTTTTATTGCAGGGGACTGTCCTGGCCACTGGGGGATGTTTAGTAGGAGCCCTGGCCCCTCCCCACTAGATGCCAGGAGCGCCCCCACCCCCAATCCCAACAACCAGAAATGTATCCAGATGTTGCCACATGTCTCTTAGGGGTCAAAACCACCCTTGGTTGAGAACCACTATTTTAAATGCTTTTCTGCATTATTTAAATATTTTAACAACAAGCATGTATTGTTATCATAATCAGAAAAACAAACACATTTTTAAAAAGTATTCAGAAAAGTCATCTGTGGCTCTGTGAATTGACTTTGGATTTGGTCAGCAAAATTCAGTCAGAGACTACAGAACTCTGTTGTCTTCTTATGCTCGACACAAAGGTCTGGTAAAATATCTGGGCATTTAGCAAAGCTTTCCCTGGGTTGGTTTTTGCTGGAAAAACAGCTTCTTTTTTGCTATGGATTTGAATATAATTAAACTCCTAGAGTGGACGCTTCGATGATCTCGCCCACCTTTTCTTCTCTTGGTAACTACTCCAAATTTGAGGGGATTGCCACGCTTCTCTGCTGTGACCCCCCTTTGTGGGGAGCTGACTGCCTTCCTGACTTTAAATCTAAGCTAATTTTCTAAATCTCACCTTCAGCTGCAGACACTGGTTCAAGGACAGGCATGTAACCAGGTAGTCTGAGTCTAGAAAAGAATCAACGTCAGGGGCCTCTGGAAAAGGCGCGTTCCAGGCAGCCGCTCGGAGAGATCGTCTGGACAGCATAGGCCCTGGAATTGTCACACTTGCTTTAACGCCGTGAAGAAAATCAGCCAGAGGAAAAAAAAATAACCAACACACAGAAGCAGAGCTGGGTAAATCGCAGAGGAAGAGTCAAAGCTCTGATCAAACCAAGCCTGAAGCTCACCCTTCTACTAGGCTTTTCATTTGTACAAGCCAATAAGTCCCTCTGACACTTTAAATCAGTGTGATCTGAGTTTCTGTTCCTTGCAGCTCAAAGCTGACTTGTACAACCTCCTTCAGTAAGAGGAACCTCTCCCAGACTCCTGCGTTCATGTCATCTCAGCAAACATGTATCAGACGCTTACTGGACGCCAGGCCCAGTGTCTGATCCTGGTGGGACAAAGATGATGACTGCACAGTCCTGGCCTTTGAGAAACATGCTGCCTGGTTGGGGAAGTTGAGGATGTGGGATGGGTGCCATGATGACAGGGACACAGAGACACAGTCGGCTTGGGGTTAGGGAGAAGAAATCCTTGACTGAGTCCATCTGGAGGCAGAGTGGGAGGGAGCAGGGCGTCTGCCAGCCTGGATGCTCGAGAGATTGCTGCAGGGCTTCTTGGAGGAAGAAGCACTAGAGCCAAGAGCTAAAGAGAAAGAAGTTCCCTTGGCAAAGCCAGGAGGGAAGGGGTTTCAGAAGGTGGGAACAGCCTGTGCAAAGGTCCTGTGGCAGGAAGGAACATATATGAGTAGGGGCTTTGCATTCACACCCTGCTTTTCATGGTCCTGACCACAAGCCTGTAAGGTAGGTCTTGTTATCACCATTTTAGAGATGAGGACACTGAGATGGAGAGAAGCAAAGTGACCTGCCCAGGGACACACAGCCAGGAAGCAGCAGAAATGGAGATCGAACCTGTGTTCTCATCATATCCTGGCCTGTCCCCAGGTCAGCCCGCAGCTTTCTGACTGCCGGGATACTTCTCTCTGAGAACGCAACAGTTCTAAAAATGTGGTCCAAGGATCCCTAGAGGTCCCCAAGGCCCATTCAAGGGTCCGTAGGACTATTCGTTCTTTTTATTCTCATCCTCGCACGAGTGTAAAGAGTTTGAAAAGTTCATTGATAGATGTTTAGATTCCACATTGCAACTGAATTTAAGACATTATCGCTGGCCAGTTGCGGTGTAGCATTAAAAAGACTATTCATGGCCCAGAGCTCACACCTGTAATCCCACCTACTCGGGAGGCTGAGGTGGGAGAATCGCTTGAACCCAGGAGGCGGAGGCTGCAGTGAGCCAAGATCACACCACTGCACTCCAGCCTGAGTGACAGACTGAGACTCCATCTAAAAAAAAATATATATATATATATATATATATGGATGATATATAAATGTATGTATGTATGTATATTTCACAATGTGACAGTATCTTCCCTCTCTTCAACTGCATGCTTTTGGAAAGCCAAGTTTCCTCAAGTACTTGAGCCTGAACAAAGTCTCACAGCAGATCCATCACAGAGGCAGGCGTGAGGACCCTCTATTCCCCAGAGGCCAGTGGTTAGAGAGAGATGCAGAAATATTCACAATACAACAAATGCGACTTCTCTCACTAAATTTGTCTGTTTTGAAATACATAGGTATTTATTATAAAAATGTTATGTTCAGGTAGTGGGTTTATTATTATATTTGAGTGAATCAATAAATGTTATACATTTCTTAGTTTTCATTTCCAACATGAATGTCCACTAACAGAACTCACACAAGCAAAAGCTCCTTAGGGTTCTCAGCAGGTTTTATTTATTTATTTATTTTTTGAGATGGAGTCTTCCTCTTGTCGTCCAGACTTGAATACAATGGCGCGATTTTGGCTCACCGCTGCAGCCTCCGCCTCCCGAGTTCAAGCTATTCTCCTGCCTCAGTCTCCCGAGTAGCTGGGATTACAGGCACCCGCCACCATGTCCAGCTAATTTTTGTATTTTTAGTAGAGATGGGGTTTCACTACGTTGGCCAGGCTGGTCTCAAACTCCTGACCTCAGATGATCCACCCGCCTCAGCCTCCCAAAGTGCTGAGATTACAGGCGTGAGCCACTGTGCCCAGCCCTCAGCAGTGTTTTAAAACGTAAAGGGATCCCGAGGCTGTGATCTGGAAGCCTGCAGAACTGACGTGTCTTCCCCACCCCGCACGCTGCCAGCCCCTGCTCATTTCATTTCTCCCCTCCGCCCTTCCCCGTTGTAAGTCTGTAGTCAGCGTCTCCAGGAAGGGCTGGGGATCCAGGAGGTCCTGGCTTTTTAGTTTCAAAAGTTGAGAGGAGCAGGAAGATCTCACATCTTGCAGAGAGCAAGGCTCTCCCACCCAGAAGCAGAGCCAGGGTCAAAGGATAGGTACAGAGAAGGCGTGTCACAGGTGGCCCCAGGCTGGGACTGAGCCCAGAGAGACCCAGAACCTCAGGTAGAAGCAGCTTCTCCAGGATTCTGGAAAGGCAGCCTCTAACCAGCCCTTGAAGTAGGCAGGAAGCAGCAAATGACCCCCAGGAGCAGAGCAGATGGGGAAGGGACCGGCAAGCCGCATGCAAGGCCTCAGGTGCAGGCCAGCCTGCTTCAGGCAATGCCTGGTGGGAAGACAACATCGAACCCCAGTGCTCCCATCCTCATTCCTGTCCCCAACACCCTGGCCTCACGAAAGGCCAGGGGACCCAGGGCCTTCCCAGGAGAAGTGGGCTGGGGAGGTGGCAAGGGTGGGAGTCACGGTCAGATGAGGCCTCCTCCAATCTGGCATAACCACGGCACAAGATGGAAAATCAATTCCATTTGCAAAAGAATGAAGAAACTCTATAGTGCCAGTGTATGAACTGGGACTCATACCCACTCCATGTGGAAAAGCCCCACTTGTGTGGGATGTAGCCTCCATGAGGGGCTCAGAATCCCAGACTGGGCCTGGGAGTACAGCCCCTGGGATTGGAGGTTTGGACCCCAGGGTCCCTTAGGTAAGCAGAGGCCGGTCAGCGGTGCAGGGCATGGTGGAGCTGAGCCTCTTGCCCAGGCTGTGCCCCAGATGCCCCCTCACCTTCTGAGGACCTCGCCCGGCAGGACAGGTTCTTCAGGGTCCTCCTGAGCAGTGGCTTCCTGCACCTCTCACTCCTCCCGGAAGGGTAGACAAAGATGCCTCAGAAACAGGCCCAGAGAGGCCAAGAGATTGGCCAGAGGTCACACAGAGAATCATCCCCTTACAGAGCCTTGGGGAAGGCACAGAGCTGCGTCCCTGCACCTGCCCCCTTGCCCTGCCACAGAAGGCTCTTGGAGAATGTGGGGGCAGGTCCTGGATGGGTTCCTGACCTGGGCTGCATGGATGTGGTCCTTGATGCTCCCCTCTCACCCTCCACATCTAAACCATTGTCACTGTCAGGTTTATGCCCTAAATATCCTATATCCAACCACATCTCCTCTCCTCCCAGGCCAGCCTGGGCCAGGCCCTTCCCTCTCACCCATGGACTGTGGCCATCGCCCCTTCTCTGTTCTTCCTGCTTCCAGCCTCACCCACTCTCTTCTCCACACTTCTTCCTCTGCCTGCAACCTTCCATGGCTCCCACTCACTCAGGAAAAAACCCAGACTCCTCTGCGCGGACACGGGGCCCCTGGCCAGCTCTCCTGTCCCATCACCGCTTCCAATATCTGCTCCTTTGACCTGTAGCTCTGGTGAAATGACCTTTAGTTTCTGTTCACCAGACATTTACACAGTCTGTTCCCTCTGCTTGGAACTCTGTTTGTACTATTTTTGGGACTTTTTCCTTTGTAAAAACTGAAGGGAAATTCACGTAACGTGCAGTTAAACTTTTTTTTTTTTTGAGACTGAGTTTGCCCAGGCCAGAGTGCAGTGGCGTGATCTTGGCTCACCGCAACCTCCGCCTCCCAGATTCAAGTGATTCTCTGGCCTCAGCCTCCCGAGTAGCAGGGATTACAGGCATGTGACACGACACCCAACTAATTTTGTAGTTTTAGTAGAGACAGGGTTTCTCCATGTTGGTCAGGCTGGTCTCAAACTCCCGACCTCAGGTGATCCGCCCGCCTCAGCCTCCCAAAGTGCTGGGATTACAGGCGTGAGCCGCTGCGCCCGGCCACAATTAAACATTTTAAAGGGAATTACTCAGTGGGATTTAGGACATTCACCACGTTGGGCAGCTCATATCCTGGCACTGTTTTTGCTGATCCTCCTTCTCATCCTTCCAGGTATCCAGAAGTCACCTCCCCCAGGAAGCCCATCTTGACCCTCCCGTCTTCCCCATAGTTTGGATCGGATGCCTCTCTGGAGCTGCCAGGGCCCCCAGGGTCCCCTGCTGTGCTGTGTTGCCCACCAGAGTGTGCGTGGGCTGAGGGCAGGAACCACGTCTGATTCTTTTCGGCATTCGTGGCGCCCGCACGTGTGCGTTTCTGATGAATGAGGACAGAGGCAGAGACGGGTGGAGAGATGGTGAAATGTGAACAGAGCGTCCTCTTCGTGCCAGTCCTTGTGTGCATCACGCGGCGGGGGACAGAGTGGACACAGAGTCCACGCTTGTAGAGCTGACATCCCAGCGGTGGGGTAGGAGGGGGCAAACGTGCCCCCTGACAATTACAAGATGGCATCATCAGGTCTCCGATGACGAGCACAAGCCATTGTGGGAGCACCCAGAAGCCTCCTGGTCTGCCTGGGCTGGGAAGGTTCCTCGTGGGTGGCATCTAAGGGTTGTGAAATACGGGGGGGGCAGGGTGGGTGCAGAGGGCTGGCGGGGGGTGTTCCCAAAAGACAGAGCAGCAGGGAAAAAAGCTGGCCCAAGGGGGTCCTGACTGAGGCAATTTTGTTCCTCCTGGGAATATTTGGTGCTGCCTGGAGATGTCCGCTTTCACAACTCGGGAGGGTGCTACTGGCCTCCAGTGCACTGAGGCCCCGGAGGCTGCTTAGTATCCTGCAGCGCACAGGACAGGGGACAGGCCCGCTATGGAGGATGGCCCAGCCCGAGGCTGAGAACCCCTGGCACAGAGGCAGGCCTTTGGGGGCACTAAACGAAGCTCAGGAGAGGAGGCTGGAGGGGACCCAGACAGCCTCAGCCCCATCCAGGACTTTGGATTTGGGGATGGGGGTGTCCAGCCCGAGAGAGGACTTAGGCAGCAGAGGACCTGCTGAGAGTCAGGGCCCAGGAAGCTCCCTCTGGCCGCAGTGTGGACTAGAGTGACACGCTGCATGATCTGGTGGCAGAGAAGCTGAAGCAAAGGGTACAGAGAGTGCAAAGGTCCTGAGGTGGAAATTGGCTGCGGGGGTTCTGGACACAGAGGGGAGGCCGGCATGGGTGAAGGTCAGAGATTCCCGAGAGACACCATGCAAGGCCGTGGAGGCTGCAGCAAGACACGGGCTTAGTCCAAGAGCAATGGGGAGCCCCTGAAAGTGCTTCTCCAGGGGAGGGGCACCATCAGCCTTGGGTCCTAGCAGGCTCTAATCGCGTGTGGAGAATGGATCCTAGGGGTGAGGGCAGCGCAGGGAGATGAGGAGGAGGCGAGGCTGGGGCCAGGTCAGGCAGGGTGCTGGAGTGAGATGTTGAGGGGTGTGGCCGCGGGCCCAGCTTGTGGGGTTGATAGGGATGATAGGCCGAGGACTGGAAGAGGCTCAGAAGCTTCTAGCTGGCTAGGGGGCCTGGGTCAGGACTGTGGGCATCTCTTTTCACGTCATGGCTCCTGGGGGTCGAGGGCCCTGACATCTGCACCTCCCACCCCTTCCTGGACGAGCTCAGCCTCTGCATGGATGTCCTTGCCCCACGCATCTGCAGGAGGCAGCCGGGGACGCTTACTGTTGGGATTTTCCCAGAGCTGTAACCCCAGGACACCCTGCATCTAAAAGTGGAATCCAGCTGCTGGAGCCGCCTCTTAAAAAAGGCCAGAAGAGGACAGAGCTAGGAAAAGCCCCTTGTTCCACGTCGACTCTTAGCAGTGCCTGAGCAATCTCTGCTGTCTGCGGGACCTGGGTTCAAATCCTGCCTCCGCCACCACTCTCTAAGTGCCTTGGGCTCCTTACCTGTGGGTGGGCATAGTGGTGCCTCCCTCAGAAGGCTGGTGATCATTTGAAAATCAGATAACTGATGGAAAGTCCCTGGTGCGGAGTGTTCGATAATTGTCAGTGAATATTACTATTATTAATTAGGGCATTGAAAATAGTTCACATTTGCTCCCCTCCCCAGCTGGAAGGGCCGGTTTTGGCTTCAGCCAGGACGTCTGTAGCTGACGCACAGAGCCCCACACCAAGTTCCCAGGGGGATAAACCAGGGGAGGGCTGTTCCCTCATAACTGACAGCCTGAAAAAAAGGCAGCTTGCAAGACACTGGTGTAGAAAGGGAGGACTTTGGAGCCACGAGCCACTCCTACACTCAGATGCCGGGGCCTTGGGCAAGTTCCTGAGCCTCTTAGAGCCTGTTGGAGCCTCACTCTTCCCATCTGCAGAATGGGAACTCTGTGGCCCGCACAGGTCACCTGAAGGTGGAATGGCACCCTCTCTACTTTTAAGACACAGAAGGGATTAACTGCCTCCCAGGGATGGCATCCTTTGGGGCTGAGGGCTCCTCTTTGCCAAGCAGCTCTGGTCTCACAGACCCTCACACCAGCCCTCAATGGTCTCAACTCTGCAGGTGAGGACTCGGAGGCGTGGCCAGGTACATCACAGAGCTGAGGCCATGCCAAGCTCGGTGCCCTCCTGGCTGGGGTGCCTCCCCCATGCTCCCCTCTCAGCCCTCGAAGTCACTGGGACTCATCCTCTCAAGCCAGAAAGTGGGGCCAGATGGTGGCAGATCCACGGACGGCGGTTGCATAATTAAGTAAGGGCAAAAAATGTTTGTAATTAAACAAGGGAACCAGGACAGCAGCAGCCCCCGCAACAGCTGGGGCAGCTCAGGAAGAGGAGGCCACCCTTCTGGAAGGTTCCAGCTGGGCGTGAGGGGTGGGGTATGAAGCCTCCCCTAACATCCCAGCTCCACCTCTGCCAGCCGCATGGCCTTGGCTCCGTCCCCTCCTCTTCGGGCCTTGGTTTCCAGACAACAGCACGAGTGGGGCTTGTCCTGGTCTTGTCTCACCTGTCCCCACATCAGGGCCTTTGCATTTGAGGTGCCCCCTGCCTGGCAGGTGCTTCCCACACCCAGATCTTCCCGGGGAGGCCCCTCCACCTGCTCCAGTTCACAGCTCAGCTGCCTCCTCCTCCGAGCAGCTTCTCAACCTGTCGCGTCCCGTCACCTGCTTCTGTTTTCTCCACAGCCTAGCTCAGCGCCCTGCACACAGTAGGTCCTCAATAAGTACTTGTTAAACAAATGGAGATCCCTGTGTCATTTGTCCCTTTTGTTGTTTTTTTGAGATGGCGTCTGGCTCTGTAGCCCAGGCTGGAGTGCAGTGGCATGATCCCGGTTCACTGCAACCTCCGCTTCCTGGGTCCCAGTTCAAGAAATTCTACCTCAGCCTCCCAAGTAGCTGGGACTACAGGCACGAGCCACCAGGCCCAGCTAATTTTTGTATTTTTAGTAGAGATAGGGTTTCACCACATTGGCCAGTCTGGTCTTGAACTCCTGACCTCGTGATCCGTTCGCCTCAGCCTCCCAAAGTGCTGGGATTACAAGAGTGAGCCACTGCGCCTGGCCCATTGGTCCCTTTTATCTGTCATACTCTTTGCTTCAAACCCATGAGGCCATTTCACAAATGAAAACTGAGGCAGGTGAAAGAGGACATGCCTTGCCAGCCTCCTCAGGCAAAGCACCAATGACATGGACAGCCACTGAGCTTGATCACCTCAGGTTCAAATCCCAGCTCTGCTTTTCCTTGACAGGGGGACTTCGGACAAGTGACTGTGTCCCTCTGTGCATCAGTTTCCTCATCTGTAAAAATGGATGGTTATGCTGAACGCTCAGGGTTGTTGCAAGAGTCAAAATGAAAGTGTTAAAGCAGGTGGAAGCCACTAAGTACCAGAAACAGTGTTCCATAAAATACCTGCTGAATTAAGGAGGTGATCCACATATCACAAATGGGGAAACCGAGGCACAGGGAGGCAAAGCTAATTAAACAATGGAACTGAGCAGCAAACCTAAGTCTTTTCAACTCCAGAGGCCTCTTCTGTGCAATGAAAGTAACATTGTGGAAAATTCTAGGCCTCAGGACTCCCAAGTGATGGGAGGGACGGAAGACTGCCTAGAGCGTAAGCGGATGGCCGGCCAGGAACAGCCAACGTGCATGTGGGGGACAGGCAGGCAGCGGAGACGCCCCGCCAGGGCCCACATGAAGGATGGCTGTGCCTTGCCGGTCTCCACTCTCTGACTTTCTGATATTCCATTGAGGAGAGTCTCGCTCTACCATCCTCAGTCTGTGGAGTTTGAGCAAAGTGGACCCCACCTCCAGCTTCATGGATGTTCACATGACCGAGGACCTGGCCCTGGGCCACAGGGTGTGGTGAGAGATGGCCACGTGATCCAGTCACAGCCAGTGAGAGCCAGTCCGGAGCCTTTGAGAGAGGTTGAGAAAGAACGCTGGGGTTTCCCTCCAGCTGCTGGGCTGATAGGGTCATGTTAGCGACAGTAGGGGTCACAGTCACAGCGGCAGTCGCGGCAGCAGTTTTAGTAATAACATAACAGCTACTGCTTACTGAGCACCAGGGGTGTTAGGTGCTGTTTAGTGCTTCACATATATTGATTAACCCCATCGTCCAGAGAGATGTGGAAAACAGCATTATTCAAACACCTGGATCTAGCTATGCCTGAAGCAAGCACCCCTGGAATTTTTTTATGTGACCTAATAAATTCTCTTTCACCTGAACTGGTTTTAGTTGGATTTTTGTTCCTTGCAACTGAGACAGTCCTGACTAATCCACCTGCCTTCTGGACATTATCTAGGCTTCTATCTCCCCATCATTACTGCAGCTGAGGCGGCGCGCCCATTAACTGTTTCATACTTGTCGCTGACTCACAGGTTTCCACTGGAGTTCTTGGTTCATCCTTCCCAAACAGAGGCAGGCCCCAGGCCTGCTCCTTTTCCCATTCAGGCTGAGCGGGAGAGGGCGTGTAGGTGTGAGTGCGCACCTGTGTTCCAGGAAGGTGCTCCGTGGGCTGTGCTTGGCCCTAAAACGAAACAGACCTCATTACTAGTGTCATGACGGTTATTCAGTCGTCCTCCCGAGCCAGATCAGCTGCTTTGCATAAACGGTGATCTCACCAACTCTTCCCAACAACCCTGAGAGGCGGGTATTGTCATCCCATTTGAAAGATGAGGGAAATGAGGTTCAGAGCAGCAAAGCCTGAGTCCCTTAGCTCCAAGCGGCACGCCCTGCGCTCCCTAACTCCAGAGCTGTGCCCCTTCCAAGACCTGAGCTCACAGAGCCCGGGTGCCAGAACTCAGGGTCAACTCGGTTTACAATATGTGTGACAAATCTGTGTATGTAGAGTCTACGAGTGTGTGCACACAGTACATGTGTCAAATCTCTATATGTGTGTGTCTACATACATCTCAAATCCATACAAATAGAATGCAAACAAATAGATATCCTATAGATAGGGAATCTATGTGTATACTAATGTGTGTCTAATATATGTGCCAAATTTATATGTATGCAAAATATATATGTGGTGATATATGTGTAGAACCTATATGAATGTGGAATATATATATTTGTGTATAATAGGCATGTGGACTCTACAGCCGTGTAGGACATATATGAGCGTGAAGTATGTGCACAGCATCTGTATCTACGTAGGACATATATGGGTGTGTGTCTAATATGTGTATAGAATCCATATCTACATAGGACATGACAGTGTGTGTGTTTGTGTGTGTGTCTCTAATATTTGTGTGGAATCTCTGGTTTCACCTGCCCTATATCTCTGGCAGCAGGTACTTTGTGTAGTGGGAAAAAACAGCTCCTTTCCCCCTCAGCCTGTACCACTCTGGACCAGCCTCTGTTTCCTATTCTCCTCTGGCCTCCTGCAGTCACCTGGCCTCCCTGCTCTGCCCCTGCCCCGACCCATCCTCCCCTTGGGCTGGAGGGTTACTATTAGCACCTAGGTCAGGTCGGGGCCTCTGCTCAGAGCCTTCCATGGCTCCCACCTCTCTTGGAGCAAAGCCAAAGTCCTCACAACAGCCCGCAAGGCCCTGCCTGGTCTGGGACCTCCCTCGTGGCCTCCCTGACCTCCTAACGGACCATCTCTTCCTCTCCCCCTTGGCTGCTGCTGCTCCAGGCTCTTTCTCTGGGGCCAGGCACGCTGCAGCCCAGTGCCTGTGCGCTTGCACTTCCTGCTTTCCACGCGATCCCCTGCCCCAGGTGTCACTTCATTCAAGTCCCAGCTGAATGTCACCTCCCTGAGAGGCCTTCCCAGATTCTCTCCAGCCCCTTCCCCTGTGTGGATGTCCCTAAGATGCTCCCATGCGACATTCGCCCACCACCCAGCACAGGGCCGGACATGTAATCAGTGACGGGGCTAAAGCAGCTGGTGACCAGGTCAGCGCTTGCCCTGTGGAACCTCCTCTCAGGCCACCTGGGACCTGCACGGCCTCACCTGGCCTCTGCCACCAGTGTCTTCCCACCAGCTCTCCCACCCCACTTCCTTCCTGTTTGGGGCTAGAAGCTGCCAACAGAGCCTTTCTCTGCCTGCATTTAATGGCTTATTTTTACAAAAAAGCAAAAAGGGAAGTGTCAGGAGCAACACCCTTCACCTCCCATTCCAGGGCGTTTCTCTGTTGCTGCTGGGCCCCATGGGGAAATTCTGCCTTCTGGGACAGTCCGTCCTCATGTGACGAACTGGTGTTCCAGGTAGCTGAAGTTTCTGGATAACTGAGGAGAGCCTCCGGAATCAAGGAATGGAAAAAGTGTGGCATGGGGTTGACTCGAACCCACCAAGGGGCTCTGTTAGGCCAGCACTTCTGCATTTTAACAACGCTATCAAGATATAATTCACCTATCATAAAATTCACGGCGTCAGGATGCACAATTTAATGGTTTTAAGTCCAGAGTTGTGCAACTATCACCACGATCAGTTTGAGAACATTTCATCACATTCCCAAACACCCCATATCCCATGCCTACTCCCTACACACCCTCTCCCCAAGAAATACCAATCTATCTGCTGTTTCTTTTCTTTTCTTTCTTTTTTTTTTTTTTTTTTTTTTGAGAGTGGGTTTCTCTCTTGTCACCCAGGCTTGAGTGCAATGGCGCGATCTCAGCTCACTGCAACCTCCGCCTCCCAGGTTCAAGCGATTCTTCTGCCTTAGCCTCCCCAGTAGCTGGGACTACAGGCATAAGCCACCACGCCCAGGTAATTTTGTGATGTTTTTTAGTAGAGTCGGGGTTTCTCCATGTTGACCAAACTGGTTTTGAACTCCTGACCTCAGGTGATCCTCCTGCCTCAGCCTCCCAAAGTGCTGGGATTGTAGGCGTGAGCCACTGCACCTGGACTCTACTTGCTGTTGCTATAGATCTACCACGTCTGGATATTTCATGGGAACGGAATAGTGGCCTATGTGACCTTTTGTGTCTGGCTTCTCTCATTCAGCATCATGTTTTCGAGGTTCATTCACACTGTAGTATGAATTCGTAGTTCATCCTTTTCATTGGCGAATAATATTCCATTGTATGGATCCACTGCATTGTGCTTATCCATTCATCAACTGATGGACATTAGAGCTGTTTTCACTGTGCAGCTATGATGAATTGTGCTGCTATGAACGTTTGTGTGTGAGTTTTTGTGCAGACATATACTTCCATATCTCTTGGGTATATACCTAGAAGGGGAATGTCTGGGTCATACGGTAGCTCGGTCTGCCCTCCTGGGGAACTGCTCGGCCATTTTCCAAATCGGCTGCACCTTTTCCAATCCCGCCAGCAAGATTTGAGAGTCCCCATTGCTCACGCCCTAGTCCACATTTATTAGTGTCTGTCTTTTTTATCATTTGCCGTCACAGAAAGTGCAAGGTGGTAGGTCAGTGATTCGCCTTTATTAGTGGGAAACATTTAAAAATTGGGAGACTTTCTTATTTTTTATTTTTTGGGACAGAGTCTCTCTCTGTTGCCCAGGCAGGAGTCCAGTGGCATGATCTCAGCTCACTGCCACCGCTGCTTCCTGGATTCAAGCGATTCTCCTGCCTCAGCCTCCCGAATGGCTGGGATTACAGGCGTGTGCCACCATGCTTGGCCTAAAAATTGGGGGAGTTTTTTTTTTTTTTTATCAAAATCAGGATCACTAGCTTCTCTTGAGGAAAAAGGCTTTCTGGCATGACTGGATGCGTTCCCTGCGGAGGCTGAGTCATGGCTGCCCTCCAGGCCACCACAGTCCTCTTCCAGCCAATTCCCTTGTTGAAGGGACCTCGGGGCTCCTTTGACACTGAGGTCTGTAACATGTGTTGGAGCCCAGATGAAGGCCACAAGGATGAAGATTCTTCATCACTTGGCCTTTCTGGAATTGACTTTCCCTCAGGCTGCCTGGGAGTTGAACCATGAATACATTTTCCTACATAGTATATCCCACATTGACACAGGGTAAAGGTTAAGGATCCCTTATCCAAAATCCTTAGGACCAGAATTGTTCCACCAGTTTAGATTTGGAATATTTGCATACCCATAATGAGATATCTTAGGGATGGGACCCAAGTCTGAACATGACATTTCTTTACCTTTCATACACACCTTACACACAGCCTGCACGCAATTGTATACAATTTTTAATAATTTTGTGCATGAAACAAGTTTTGTGTACATTGCAGCATCAGGAAGAAAGGTGTCCCTACCTCAGCCACCCGCATGGACAAGCTGTGGTTGTTTGGCGCCTCCTTATTCCTGACTCTGAATTTATATGCTACCAGTAAGCAATCACTGTCTTACGTCTACTCACTCATAAGTACTCCACGGTAAAAAGCATGACATAGCATTAACACAGTGGAAAAAGAAGGAGTTCAGGGTGACCAAGCAGAACAGTGACATCGGCAGATACAGGGCTCAGCTGTGAGACCACAGCGACAACAGACAACCTGGCTTTTCACTGACGGTGTCAGCTCGGCACTCAAGAAGTTTCGGATTTGGGAGCATTTCGGATTTCAGATTTGTGAATTAGACACGTTCAACCTGTATTCTCATGGTGATCCTGGAAGGGATTCATTGTCCCTGTCTCTAGATGAGAATGCTGAGGCTGCCTGAGGAGCGAGCACATAGCCTGCCTGGGTCGCATGCTTCTGAGGATCTCGGTTGGGATTCAAGGCAGCTGATCTGACCTCCCAGCCCTGTGGTTTTTTTGGGTTTCGTTTTTTTTTTTTTTACAGAGACAGAGTCCTGCTGTGTGGCTCAAGCTGGTCTTGAACTCCTGACCTCAAGCAACCCTCCCGTGTCCGCCTCCCAAAGTGCTGGGATTACTGCTGCACCTGGCAGTCCTGTGCCTTCTGTGACATTACACGGTCCCTGTGGTCCTTCGGTCTTTCTCATATCCTCACTCTGCAGTGGGGAGCCCGAGGCAAAGGTCTCTTTCTTAAAAGAATTATGTTTGAGCCAAAAAGCCCAGAGAAGTAAGTCACTGTCTTTCCACTGCAGCATCTCATACAGTTCCGATAATTATAGGTACAGGGCAGCCTTAATTTCAAATGTCCAAATCCTAGATGGACTGACTGTGTTCACTAGATTGAGTTCCGTGGGGAGGGACCTCAGCTGTTGGCTCAGTCCCATGGCCCTTGTGTGAAACCCTTCTGAGCACAAGATGTCGACTATGGAAATATGTGTCTGCTGAATGAATGAGCTGGTGATACATTTAAAAATAGTTTCCAGCCGGGCATGGTGGCTCACGCCTATAATCCCAGCAATTTGGGAGGCCAAGGTGAGCGGATCACCTGAGGTCGGGAGTTTGAGACCAGCCTGACCAACATGGAGAAACCCCGTTTCTACTAAAAATACAAAATTAGTTGGGCCTGATGGCACATGCCTGTAATCCCAGCTACTTGGGAGGCTAAAGCAGGAGAATCACTTGAACCCAGGAGGCGGAGATTGCGGTGAGCCAAGATTGTGCATTGCACTCCAGCCTGGGCAACAAGAGCGAAACTCCATCTCAAAAAATAATAATAATAATTTCCAGTCTTTTTCTTCATGACTTTTTCACTTTTTTTCAGCAAAGGTGTTTTGTTAAATGTCGAACCAAACATGCTTGAATTTATCTGTGCTACTGCTTAGCTTCAAACCACAGCTCCTCCCTCCCTTATAAGCAAGTTACTCGACTTCTCTGGGACTCAGTCTCTTCATCTAGAAAATGGGGACAAGCATGTACCTACCTGAAAGTCAGTACCGGTACCTGGAAAGCTCTCAGGACGCTGTGGGAATCGGTGGCTGAAGTCATTATTGTTATTTGTTTCCATCTGAGAGCCAGGCCAGGGGCTTAGGGGACAAGGGGGAATAGGGCTGCTATCTCTGGGTGACTCAGGTTCCTGCCTGCATCATGGAGAGTTCACAAGAAGGGTCATGGTGTCCCCTGAGAAATGACAAGGAACCAACCGGTCCATGAACGTGAGGGGAAGTGACTGAATGGTGGTTAGCATGAACTGGAAAATGCACACTCGGTTGAGTTGCTCAATCCATCCGGTGACAGCAAAGCCCGTGGTACACTGGGGGAGCCAGGTACGTGCTCAGGGCCCAGTGTAGAGGGGCCGGGCCTGAATGGCAGAGGGGATTGCCGCGGCCTCGAGCTAGAGGTTCCCCAGCCCTGGAACACAAGGGGCCTCTGGAAAGAGAAGGCATGAATACTGCCTTGGCTATTTTTGGCTTAACACTGGGGTGTCCCTCAGCCTCCCACCTGCCTAGAGGAGAAAGTCATGTTCTTCAAAAGATGGAGATCCGGCCAGGTGCGGTGGCTCACACCTGTAATCCCAGCACTTTGGGAGGCCAAAGCGGGCAGATCATTTGAGGTCAGGAGTTCGAAACCAGCCTGACCAACACCGTGAAACCCTGTCTCTACTAAAAATACAAAAATTAGCCAAGTGTGGTGGTGTGCACCTGTAGCCCCAGCTACTTGGGAGGCTGAGGCAGAAGAATCGCTTGAACCTGGGAGGCAGAGATTGTGATGAGCTGAGATGGCGCCATTGATTGCACTCCAGCCTGGGCGACAAGAGCAAATCTCCGTCTCCATTAAAAAAAAAAAAAAAAAAAAAAAATGGAGATCCTGGCATTGCCCCCAGACATCGGAAAATTCTCAGGGGTGCAAGCTTCTGGCAGTTTATTTACTTGCTTTGGTTGAGTTCTTCATTTCCACCCAGATCTCACCTCCACAGTCTGCCAGGCTCTCTCTGCCCAGGCCATACACATGGGGCCTATGTGGTTCCTTCATCCTTCTCCCCAAGTTACAATAACAACACAATAACACTAATAGCTCAGATTTACTGAGCACTTACCATGTGCCACCATTGTGCTCATTACTTGAAATAAACTCATCTGATCCTTATAATACCTGGTGACATTGGTGGTTCATTACCATCCCCAGTTCACAGATGGGGAGACTGAAGCTCAGAATGGCAGAGTCTGAACTCTGTTGAGGAACTGGCAGGTAGGGGAGGAGCTGGCAGGTAGGGGAGGAGCTGGCAGGTAGGGGAGTCTCTGGCAGTCCTCCTGTCTGAACCCTGAATACATCTCCAGGCTACAAATATGCTAGGCGGCCAGATAGAGCCTCTGGTGCTCAGCCTCCCTGGCAGTGAGAGTCCCCTTGCACTACTCAGAAGGCAGGTGGGCAATGTCAAGGGCAATTTGGAAGCAACCACTAATCCATAGGTTTTGGCACACTGGTCCAATCCTCAGGTAGAAACTCAACCTTGAGAGGCTTTAGAAGTAAGGAAATTTTATCATCTCAGAGACCAGATGTTTGGAAGTGTGGAGAATCAGAGATTGGCTAATTTGGCAGCTTGGTGACGTCAGCAAGGACTCAGGTCCTGGAACTCAGGCTTTGTCTTCCAGCTGGTTCTCCTGATTGACCCGAGATGACTGCTGCTGCTCCAGACAACACAGCCCTTCTCCGACAACACTTGTGAGATAAAACATCCTTCTCCTTTTTTCTTTTATCTAAGCACTCTCATAAATATTTTTTTTAAGTGCAGGTGGCATTGGGAACGCCACATAATGTTTTATAAATGCTTTTTATAATTGTAGTACGAACATTTAACATGAGAGCTACCTTTTTAACAAACTTTTAAGTGTACAATATGGCATTGTTAGCTATAGATACAATGTTGCACAACAACTCTCTAGAACTATTCATCTTGCATAACCAAAGCTTCATACCCACTGAACTCCCCATTCCTGCCTCCCTCCACCCCTGTCAATCACCTTCCACGGTCTGCTTCTGTGAGTTTGGCTGTCGGAATCACGCAGCATTTGTCCTTCTGTGACTGCCTAATTTCACCCAGCATAATGATCCAGCAATCTTACCCCAGGATACTTATCCAAAAGGACTGAAGTCAGGCTCTCAAAGAGATTTGCAGTCCCATGTTCATTACAGCACTATTCATAATAGCCAAGATGCAGAAACAACTCGAATTTCCATCGAAGGATGGATGAAGAAAGAGAACGTGGTATGTGCATACTATAGAATATTATGCAGCCTTCAAAAAGAAGAAAATCCTGTATTATGCAAAGTGAAATGAGCCTCTATGTCTCTCGAAGGAAAAGGAAACCTGTCCCAGAAGCCTCCAACAAATTTCTCAGCACATCTCATTGGCCAAAACCGCATTCCATGTTCAGCCTAAATCAATCGCTGGCCTTGCTGGGGGTGGGGGCACCATGACTGGCTTAGAGCAACGGGAATCAGTCCCGTGGGGTGTGGCTGAGGCCCATCTTCCTGGAGCCCATGGGAGGGGTGGGGGCAGGGTGTTCTTGTGCAAAATGAGCAAAATCAGTTCTGTTAGGAAGGAGGAAGTGGGGGGAGGGCTGAAACGGGAATAGCTCATTGCCGCTCTCAGCAAATCTGCTTCTTGCTGTCGGGATCTACTGAACTGCCTCCGTTTCTGGGCTGTTTTGAACTGACACTTCCACTTTCTCATACATTCTATAAGCTCATTCATGTTCCTCTAATAAATTTCCTTTCCACTTAAGTTAGCCAAATCTGGATCTCACGGAGGCACCAAATTTCCTAAGTGATCCTCTTCAGTATCATCGTCACCGAAGCATCTTGGCTGATATTTATTGAGCACTTGCTATGTGCTGGGTCCAGTGAGAAGCACTTTACTTGCAGCAGAGATTCTCAACCAGGGGGTGATTTTGCCCCGCAGGGAACATTTGCCAATGTCTGGTGATATGTGTGACTGTCACAACTCAGGGCAGGGGGTGCTGCTGGCATCTAGCGGGTATCGAGGCCAGGGATGCTGCTAAATGACAGCATCACGACCAGGACAGTCCACATGTAGGAGTTATTTGGCACCAAATGTCAGTAGAACAGAGACTGAGAAACTCACTCCTAACCAATCCTGGGGTATTTCATAAAGAAGCAGCCGGTCCGGAATGCCCACAGGGCCCAGATTGAGAGCCCTGGCCTTGCACGGTTAGGTAGTGAATGAGCAGAAGCACCCGCCGTGTGCCTGTCCATGCTGAACAGCAGAGCGGCTGAGGGCCCAGCCTTAGCCCCTGGGAACTCGAGCACATTTTAGTCCTTTAGGTTATTCCACTTGCTCTCTTCCTTGTTCCAAAAGGAGCTTGAGGCAGCCAGAGCCAGTGATCGTTGCTCGTATTGTCCGTGAGTGAGAAAAGGAACTAGCACCACCTGAGCTCCGTGGAGGAAGAACCGCCTCCTCCAGCTCTGGCTATTCGAAGGGGTTCCCCAAGAGAGAATTTTGCGTGGGGCCATGACAGTGTGGACAGTAAGATGATGAGAGGTATATTCAGAAGGGTCAGGTATTTGTCAGGATTTATTTAAACCCAATCCAGGGTGGGTTTTTAAAAGGGAGAATGAGAAAGCCATGCCTGCTTCAGATACAGCTGGATCCAGGAGCACCGTCAGGGGGCTGTCTGTGCCTCTTGGCCGTGCTTTGCCCCATGTCACTGGCATTCTCAGGTGGTCTCTCCTCTCAGGGCAGCACAGTGGCCTTGGCTGCTCCAAGCTGACATCCTACAGTGAGCTCAGCCACCTCAAGGCGGCAATGTCTTTTCTATTTCAAAGTCACAGGATTAATCTCTTGGCCCTGATTGGATCACGTGCTCACCCCTGAACCAATCCCTGTGGTCAGGGGCCTGGGGTTTTCTGATTGGCCAGGCCTGCAGCCCTGAGTCGACCCTGGGGATGGATGGAGTGAACCTCCCTGATTCACAAAACCAAGGGGGTGGAGGCACCATAGGGGAAACTCAACGTGGTTTCCAGAAGGAGGGGGATATGTGCTGGGTGGCCCGAGACACGCGCAGATGCAGCATCCTCACCAGCTCAGCCAACAAACCTAACCAGGACCTGCTTTGAGGCTGGTGCCAAGCCCAGAAATAAATCTGGCACCTTCCTGCCCTCTGAGAGGAAGGGAAGATATAAATAAGTGTAATTCAAAGCACGGTGTGATGTGTCCCGAAAGAAAGAAGCAAACAAAAGGCTACAGACACGAGAGGTGGGCTGAGAAAGGGCACTGGGCTGGCAGGAAAGGCTTGAGCAGGAGTAAGGAGGGGGAGGCCAGGGTGTGTTTGAAAAACAAGGGGTCATCCTCGTGGCTGGCTACGTGGGGAACGAGGCTCCAGAGAGCAGTCAGGCTCCACAGAACAGGACCAGGCTCACCCAGCCAGGGCGTTTGGACTTTCAGCGGGTCAAAGCGGGGAGCCATTGATGGTTTTAGAGCAGAGCAGAAGCAGGATCTGGAGTTGTGTTTTCTGAAGATGAACTCAGCAGTTGTGGAAGGGGAAGTGCTGGGACAGGGAGAGACTGAGAGGGACAATTGAGCAGCTGTCACAACTGTCCCAGGACAGGTACTGGGCATCAGAACCAGGGTAAAGGTAGGGCAGATGTCTTTTCATTGTACCCAAGGGCTGGGCACATAGTAGGTGCTCAATAAATGTGGGGTAGAGCGAGGAATGGGAGAAGGGGCCTGAACCCTGGCAGCTGCAGGAGGGGAGGGCCGATACCAAGGTTATCCAGTTATGCTGAGCAAAGCCCCCACACCACCGTGGGTCCTCGAGGAAGCCATGGCCACCCTGGCCAGCCCCCAGCCTGCTTCTCCTGTGCAGCCTCTGGCGACCACAGCATGTCCCAGCCAGGGATGGGAGTCCGGGAGAAAAGCAGGAAGGAAGTGAGAGGTCAGAACAGGTTGTCTCTGCCTGGGCATGGACTCCCCCTGCAGCTCCTGACTCTTCTCGGGAAACCAGGATGCCAGGTGCCAATGGGCACCTAGAATCGATGACCAGGCAGCAGGGGGCTGGACACGACGCCTTCGGAGGTCAACACACCACCCGATGGTCTCTGAGGCCTAGGCCCCTCCTCTCATTCTTTCTTAGAAAGATTTATACTCAGGAAGCTGCTTCCTCGACAAACCCACTGGGCTTCCTAAATATTCACCAACGACTCATTGGCAGGACATTTTTGCCAGAGCTGCCAACTGGATTTACTGGCAGAGGCACTGGGCTATGAGGCAGTGGGTGGTCAGGGGGACTATAAACGGGGGAAAGTCCTGAGAGAGCAGAGACCATCAAAGCCTCTGGCTCAGCTGTGGTCAGGTGGGGAAACTGAGTCCCTGATCCCTCATGAGGCATGAAACCACCAGCCCATAGCACCTGCCAGCCTCCCTCTTTTCAGAGACCAAAGATAAGAGACGTCTGGGCCAGAGTGGGCTGAGCAGATCCTGAAGGCAAGAAGGACGTGCAGAAAAGGGGTGGGACCCCCACGCCTCATCGGGATTGACTGGGCTTTCATGCTTCCAAATGCCCACTCCCCACTTAATGACAAGAGCGAAAACCTCTGCTC